GTCCCGTCGCTGGAGGAGATCCGGGCCGTGGTGGCGCGGCGGGACATGAGCACCACTGTGCATTGTCATGGCGGAGGCTGCTGCAAGATCGTCATCAACTCGCATACCACTGCCGGCGAGGTGAGTAGAACCTTACAGTCGTTGCTCGATACATTGCTCTACACTTCTTGCAGCACCGTTTTTCCAGAAAAAAAGTCAAGAGTTCCAAGGGAATTTTTTTTAATGCTCATTAATTTTATTTATTTATTTCAAAGGGAAAAAATATTATTCCGTTTTTCAGTGTGTATTTGACGTGTGTGTGTGTGTGTGTGTGTGTGTGTGTGTGTGTGTGTGTGTGTGTGTGTGTGGGAGAGAGAGAGAGGAGAGAGAGGGAGGGGGGGATTCTTGAGTGTTAAGGTTAGGTACTCCCTGATCTTCCTCATTTTCATCTTGGTCTTAATAAAATAAAATAGGTATGAAGATGATGTCATACACTGTGAGTCACATGGCCATCTCCCAGAATGTTCCAGACAGGGCGTGAGGACGAACACATCTGAGATCACATCCTGTAGAAATCCCCCTACACCGACACCCACACCCACACACACACACACATACAAAGGATGATGGGAGGCGGCACGTTCAGCATGTCGCGGCGTTTGTTGTAGCAAGTTGACTTCTGGTGTGATGTCATGACCTTGAAAATAATCCAATTCTAAGAAACAAACCTACTTCCTGTCATGTGCCTGTAACAGGAAGTAGTTCCACTTCAAAGAAGAGGAAAAGCCACTGATTGCATAGCCACTGGATGAACATCGGTTCGGTTTGGTTGTGGTCTGAGTGAATTTTGATGCTGGTTGGTTGGGGTCATGATCGATTGTGGTCCCTGCTGATTCTGGTTCCGGTTGTTTGTGGGCATCGTTATTTGTCACTTTGGTTGATTTGTTTTTTATGGTGCTGATTGGTTGTGGGCCTGGTTGATTCGAAGTCCTGGTTGGTTTTGGTCTCCGTTATTTATTTATTTGTTTTATTTTATTTTCTTTGACAGAGATTTGAGATCAGCGGATGTTGTTCATATTTTGCAACCGTAGGCATGTGAACAACTCTTCTTACAGATCTCTTTAGCGTGATATGGGAGAAGGGCGTGATACCGGAAGACTGGGCGAAGGGTCTGATTGTGAAACTCCCAAAGAAAGGCACCCTCCAAGAGTGTGACAACTGGCGTGGGATCACCCTTCTCTCCATCCCTAGCAAGATTTTTTGCCGTGTCCTACTAAAGCGCATCGACCAAGCCATTGACCCCAGGCTTAGGCAGGAGCAAGCAGGATTCCGGAAGGGCAGAGGATGCATGGACCAAATCTTTGCCTTGCGCAACATCATCGAGCAATGCTTGGAATGGAATGTGCCACTGTACATCAACTTTGTGGATTTTAAGAAGGCCTTTGATAGCGTACATCGGGAAACATTGTGGCGAATACTGCCTTCATACGGTGTACCACCCAAGATCATCCCCTTGATTAGCATGTTCTACAGCCACTTCGAGTGCAGTGTCATCCTGGATAATACCCTGACAGAGTGGTTCTCAGTGGAGTCCGGTGTGCGTCAAGGCTGTATATTATCTCCGATCCTCTTCCTTCTTATCATCGACTGGATCATGAGGAAGACAACAGCTGACAAAGCCAGAGGGATCCAGTGGACATTCCTCTCACAACTCGAGGACCGGGACTTTGCCGATGACCTTGCCATCCTGTCCTCCAAACATACCCATCTGCAAGAGAAGACTGACCGATTGGGTCATTTCGCTGCACAAACAGGACTCACCATCAGCACCACCAAAACCCAGGTCATGTATATCAACCCCAGGGTGACAGCTCCTATCACCAACAGTGGGAAACCTCTTGAGGCTGTCGACAACTTTACTTACCTGGGCAGTCTGATCAGCACTGACAACGGCGCGCAGAAGGACATCAAGGCGAGGCTTGCAAAGGCACAGGGAGCATTTGCCAGGCTTCATGCCATCTGGAAGTCCCGTCAATACAGTCTTCACACAAAGATCCATCTGTACAACAGCAACGTGAAGTCTGTATTGCTATATGGGTCCGAGTGCTGGAGAGTGGTGACGACGGATATGAAGAGAGTGGAATCTTTTCACAACAAGTGTCTCCGCAAGATCTGCCATATATTCTGGCCAAACATTATCTCCAACCGTGATCTCTACACGTTGACTGGAAGCCAGAGTATAGTAGGAGAGATCAAGCGTCGACGATTCCGATGGCTGGGGCACGTATTAAGGATGGAGGAAAACCGCATACCGAAAGTAGCGCTGAGATGGACTCCACTCGGAAAGAGAAAGAGGGGACGGCCCAAAACCACATGGCGCCGAACTGTGATGGCGGAGCTGAAAGAGAAGGATCTCACATGGGGACAAGCCCAACACATCGCCAGAGACAGGGCACGATGGATAGAGTTGACTGAGGCCTTATGTCCCAGACGGGACGAAGAGGACTGAATGAATGAGGCATGTGAAGCCCTTTCGGACTTTCCTGTGGTTAAGGGCTCTATAAATAAAAAAAAATTGGACTTGACTTGGTCCTGGTCGGTTGTGGTCCTTGTTGACTGCGGTTGTTAAAGGTGCTAATCTTTTCAGGACGGTCACCCAGAGCATCTGCAGTGTGGCCTGAAGGTCCGAGGTGAGGTCCTTGTCCTGGACCTGCAGAAAAATCGGTGAGTGAGCGCAGATGGATCAACATCACTTGGAAACAACTTTGCACTGATGGCTGCGCTTCGACCTCAGCGACCTCCTGCCCAAAGCGCCAAACGTCTTCTTCTACCTGCCCAACGGCACTGGAATTTCCATGACGGACGACCCTGTGGTGAGTCCTTGAACGCAGCTGACCATCTGACTGAGTGACAGACTGACCGCCTGACCTCACGAAGATGGACTTGCCAAGCTGAGCCGTTTGGTTTTGTCTCCGCAGACGCATTGTTATTACCATGGCAACGTAAGAGGATTCCCAAGCTCCAGAGTGGCAATCAGCACCTGCTCCGGTCTGCGGTGAGTTTTCCAAGTGGTTTACGGCGATCCCTGAGCCCTGAAGGATTAACAGATTTGCTCAAGCATCAGCGCTTACACAATTCTTCATTGTTCTTCGACACGTGCGTTTGACATTTTCATGGAACAACCAATAACACGGAGATTGTACACTTCCTTCAGTGCTTGGTTGTCACAGTGTTGAGGCCTGCAGAGAAAGCCTTGCTGGCCCTGACTGATCACCACCACCGAGCGTTTGTCAAAAGGGATGACATCACCATCGACCGTCTTCTTTCTCTTTAGCGGCGTGATCGCCGTCAACTCCTCGTTGAGTTTGGAGGTTCAGCCGCAGGAGCTCCGCCCCCCGCGCCACAGCATTGCGGCAAGTGGTCAAGGGGGCGGGGCCAGCGGAGGAGGAGTTGAAGAAGAGGCGGGAGAAGATGGAGACCACCTGATCTTCTCCAGCGCTCACGTGGCCGACCAAGCTGCCGCGAGCTGCGGCGTTTTGCACGGCCACGCCGACGTCCGCCACGATACCATCACGCACCCGCAACACAGGGTAAGGGGCGCGACGTGACACAAAACGGCGGAATGAAACCAATAAGAAAAGCCCTCTCCTGAACTTGGTTTGTGCGCAGATAAAAAGGGACATCCTGTCTGAGACCAAATACATCGAGCTGGTGTTGGTGGCAGACCACCAGGAGGTGAGTGGACGCTTGATTGACCGCCACCATTAGCATATTGTGATGACCAATCTCCTTCTTGCTGTTTAGTTCTTGAATTACCAGAAGAATAACAAGACCATCATCTACCGCTTGCTGGATGTGGCCAATCAGGTGGACTGGGTGAGACCTTTGAACCTGCCATCACCATGGCGACAACCTGCAGAGCCCCAAAAATACTGTGCGTGTGTACGTGCGCGCGGCAGTATTACCGGCCGCTGAAGGTGCGCGTGGCGCTGACGGGTTTGGAGGTGTGGAGCGACCGGGACAAGATCCGCGTGGAGAAGAACCCCAGCGCCACGCTCAACAACTTCCTGCTGTGGCGGACCAGGGAGCTCCTGCCACGCCTTCGCCACGACAACGCTCAGCTCGTCATGTACGCCCGCCAAAAGCCATGTTGACCTTCCCGCTGACTGCTTTCTCGTTGACCTTGTGCCGGTGTGGCGCAGGGGAAGCGCCTTGGACGGCACGACGGTGGGCATGGCGGCGCAGGCGTCCATGTGCTCCAGAGACCGCTCAGGAGGCGTCAACGTGGTGAGTGGTGCGGCCAGCTCATCTTCATCATCATCGCCATCGGTATCGACGGTTGTAGCAACCCGCCGCCGTTGTGAGCAGGACCACCTGGTCAGCGTCCTGGGCGTGGCGTCCACGGTGGCTCACGAGCTGGGACACAATCTGGGGATGAGCCACGACAGCCCCGAACGGCGATGCCGCTGCGACAATCAACCCCGCATGGGCGGCTGCATCATGGAACCCTCCACCGGGTCGGCACCCGCACAGCTCGCCGCTCTCATTGGCGCAACCCTGACCTAAACCCGCAGACTGCCATCCTGCTAATGTCCATTGCTGTTGACGTGCTACTTACCTCCTGCTGACTTGCTTTTGACTTCCGACTGAGTTGCTGGACTGTTGACATCTTGGTGCCAATTTGCTGTGGACTTAAAGCCCCTCCCCCTTTGCCTCATTGCTCCCCCCACCCTCACCCACCACAACAGGTTCCTGCCGGGTCAGCAGTTCAGCAGCTGCAGCGCATCCGACCTGTCGGTCAGTCTTCTGCGAGGCGGTGGCATGTGCCTATTCAACGTGCCGCCGCCCGAACGCCTCCTGGGCGGGCCACGCTGCGGCAATCTCTACGTGGAGCCCGGCGAGGAGTGCGACTGCGGCCTGCTGGAGGTACGCGCCCTGGCGGCTCACACGCCTCAGGCGAAGCTCGTACGTAACGATGGCCTGTTGTGCTCTGATTGGTCAGGAGTGCCGGGACGCCTGCTGTGATGCGGCCACGTGTCAGTTGCGCCCCGGCGCCCGCTGCTCGTCCGACGGCGTCTGCTGCCAGGACTGCCAGGTAGGCACCGCCCCCTGCCCGAGCCCTTCAAACGTTTGGCCTGAATCTTAAAGATATCTTGACGTCCTCAGCTGCGGGCGGCAGGCTCCGTATGCCGGGAGCCCATCGGAGAGTGCGACCTGCCCGAGTTCTGCACGGGCTCCTCCCCCTTCTGCCCGCCCAACGTCTACGTTCAGAATGGCGAGCCCTGCGAAGACGGCGCCGCCTACTGTTACGCCGGCACTTGCGCCAGCATGCATGCGCAGTGCCAGACACTTTGGGGACCCAGTAAGTCACGCTAAGGTAACCACCCGGTAATGTGACGTGAGAATTCTAACGGCGCTCTCGTGTCGTCAGATGCCACCGCTGCACCGGCCATCTGCTTCTCGTCCGTCAACAAGCAAGGAAACAAATACGGAAACTGTGGCCAGCTCGCCAACGGGTCCTACGTTGCCTGTGCACCCAAGTCAGTGTTTTAGTGTGTGTGTGTGTGTGTGTGTGTGTGTGTAACATGCATGCCCCCTGTTGGTGGTGGATCACTTCCCGCGTTTGTGGTTGCAGTGACGTGCAGTGTGGCAGGATCCAGTGCCAGGGCGGCCTGGAGCGCCCCCTGCTGGGCACCAACACCGAGATCCTGACCACCACCGTGCGCTTCGATCTCCACGACCTGGTGTGCCGCGGGACTGTCTTCCACCTGGGGGACGATGTGTCCGACCCCGCCTCCGTGGCCCAGGGCACCGCCTGCGGACCCGGCAAGGTCAGGCCCGAGCTCACCCCCGACCTCCGACCTGTTAAGTGTTTATCAAAATACATCAAGGCGTCACAAGGCGGCTGGACCAAAAGCGCAACGTTTGCGCAACTGGCTCAAATTCGAACAAAATCAAGTGCTTATAATTGTGAGAATATTTCTTCCCGAAGACCCGCTGACTTTCCATCGTCTAAAAATCTCTATGCAGCGGTCGTCTTGAACTATTGAGTCAATGTTGTGTGGCCATGCTCGCAACTGAAAATGCGCACATCTCAAGTCACCTTTCCCCAATGGAAGGAAGGGAATTGGCATCGAGGCCTTGCAAATAAACAACCACCAAAATACTACCAAAATATTTTTCAGTCAGGAAAAGAGCCCTGGACGACACTCATGATCACGTCATTGAAAAGAATGGAAAGGTTGAAACAGTTGGTGTGTCATGAATTCATTGTCCAGCCCTTTGTGTTGTGAGCACTTTGGCCACCTGGGGGCAGTATAATATGATGGTGTGTGTGTGTGTGTGTGTGTGTGTGCGTGCGTGCTTGCGTGGCTCCGAACTCCAAAACCTCCAAATGTGCCGATGAATGATTTTGTCTTACCGCACCCCTGCGCTCACTACAAGGGGATTTGTAGCAACTATCTTGCTCCACTGCATCAAAAAGAGTGGCATTATGTTTCCAGGCCTGCTTGGACCACAAGTGTCAGGATGTTTCCGTCTTCGGCGTGGATGAATGCCACAGGAAGTGCAACGGTCACGGCGTGAGTGGCCCGCCGTTCACGCGCCCCGCCGCCCGTCGTCGTGGCAACAGCTCAGCTCTTCCTGTCTTTCAGATCTGCAACAGCAACGACAATTGTCACTGCCGACCGGGATGGGCGCCGCCCGACTGCGCCTACGCCGGACGCGGGGGTAGCGTGGACAGCGGACCGGCGAGCGCTGCCACAGGTACACACGCACACTCACAAAAAGTACATGCAAATAAAACACAAATCACACTTGAAGTGTATTTTGGGTGTGCGTGCGCATATAGGGTCTGATCCGGTCCTGGTGGCCCTGCTGGTGCTCTTCCTCGTCATCCTGCCGGCACTGCTCCTCTTCCTCGCTCTTCGCTTTCCTCGCCTCCGTCGCGCGTGTTTCTCTTTGGGAGGCGGCAAACTCTCACCCAAATCCTCACACAACCGGTAAACCCGCAGTGTGTGCGCGTATGCGTACTTACACATTTGTACCTTATGCGTGTGCGCGTGCGCCAACATGTGAACACGTGCGACCGCTGTCCAGGACTCCGGCGACAGAGCGCTCTTCGGACCGCAACGTGGATCAAATTCGTCCGCTGAGGTTTGAGACCAACGTGTCATCGTCACCACCGTCGGACATCCCCGGAACGCCGCCGCTCAAGGAGGTAAGTGAAACCGAAAAAACCCCCCCCAAAAAACATGACGACTTTGACGTGAGAACACGTGGAAGGCGCATGTCTGTCACGCTGCTACTTCCTGTTTTCTCTCCAATCAGCTTGCCAACAGGCCTGCTCCTCCCACTAAGCCACTTCCCCCCGCCCCCCCACTAAATCCCCCGCCGCAGGTAAACAGGCATGACCACTTCCTGTCTGTGTCACGCCATCTTCTCGCTAGACTGTTGCGTGTTGTCATGGCTTCGCGACTGCTCTAGAGTGTGCTGGTCTGCCGACTGTTGTTGAGTGTTCTCATGCCTTTTCTGGGGAACCTGAGAATGCTCCAGAATGTTGTGTAGCGTGCTCGAATGTTCCCCGTGAGCATTCGAGGCCATTGTGGAATGTCTTTTAGGGTAGGGACATTGTGTCAAATGTGTAGAATGTTTCCCCCAATGTTGTACTTTGTTCGAGAATCAATTGTCAAACGTTAGAGCGTCCTTAAATACTGCACAGAATGTTGCAATGTTCCAAAAGGCCAAATAAAAGCTTCTAGAATTTAGTCACAATCGAGTCTGTAAAATGTTGCCGTGTTTTAAAATGCTGTGGAATGTAGTGTCTTTATAGATCACTTTTTTTTTTTTTTTCTTTTTGGTAGTGCTTGAATGTTGCAGCGTCCATGTACACATGCTCTAGAATGTTGTAGAACTCTAGTGCAGTGTGTTGAAAGTTGTTTTGTGTCTTGTTCCAGTTGCGAGTTGCAAAGTGTAGTCGCGTGCCCGGTGTGCAGCCCGGCCGCCTTAAAATTTCAGCTCATTTGTTGTTGTGACTTCAGCAATCTGAATGTCGTCCGGCTCCGCCCACCAAGCCTCTTCCACCTGCCCCTTCTGCCAGAGGTGTTAAGGTAGGAACCGTTGTCTGGACAGGAGGCACGATGGCCATTGATTGGCTGGAGAGGGAAAATGCTGATTGGCGGTCCACAAACAATGAGTGGCTTTCATAGTGATTTGCTGTAATCTGAGGCTTGGCCAGGCGGCCTCACTGCAATTCAAATCTCGAATCGACGCAAAACCAGCTCCCAAGTAATGGGCTGCTCATGAAAACAGGGGCCAAACGAGTGTTGGGTCGGTTCGGCCGTGTCAGTTGGCACGGGCAGCCTTTATTTATTTATTTGTATATTGATTTGTATTTATTTTTTCCCTTCAAGCTATGCTTAAAGCCACTAGGGGGAGCCTCATGAAAACTGGACTCACCCCCACTCATCCATTTTTAATATGCTTCTGTGTATATTTAATATTTATATTTATTAACTTTTTGTCTTCCACTTTCTCCCTTTCATAATTTTGCTGCTGTAAATTGGGAATTTCTCCATTGTGAGACAAATAAAGGTTTTTGTTATCTCATGATACAAAAATCAGAGACCTATGTGGCAGCCATATTGAATTCAAACAATAGCAGACGATTCTATATTTAAAAAAAAATGAATGGGTGTCTTTATCTCTATGAATGGAATTATTCTGAAAAGGAGCCCTAATCTTCGCTACTTAACACGCATGTCAGCATGAGCATGTTTCCTGACTTTCCACTCTTTGTCCTTACCTTCGCTAAAATGTTCAGCTGCGAGCGAGCCGACCGGCTCCACCCACTAAGCCCCTCCCCCCTGACCCAGTCTCACCCGATCAGGTACACGCACGCCTCTTGGTATTTTGCGTTCATGTGGGACGTCCTGCGCGCGTGATCGTGTCCCACAAATTCTCTTGTCAGGGTTCACGTCCGCCCAAACCAGCGGTCCCCAAAAAGCCGTCAGTTCTTCCGCCTCGCCCCCATCTGACCGTTGCGTCTACAGCCTCGCCTAACAGGTTGGAAACGCCGCAATTCCGTTTGTTGCCCCATCAGAAGTCATCCGAGGTTTTTCGCCTGTCTGATGATGATTCCAAACAAGAAGTCGAAAGCATGACTTGTGTTATTATTTTCCAGCCGTGGCGGTCGTCATCCTCCATCGCGTCCCACAATTCCGCCCAGACCAGAGCCGCGGTGACAGGACAGTGCCCCCCGCTGGTGGTGGTTATGCATTGCAGTGCCTTCTTGCCAAAGCAGCAACCGCTTCTCATTGGCTGTCTGCAGGAAGCCACGCCCCCTTACAGCCATGCCTTAGCAGGAGGTCACTTGACTGACAAACTGAAGACAAAATATGAAGTCCATGTTTTTTTTTTTTGTAGGAAAAAATATCAAATGGGGGAAAAAAACAATGGCAGGAGTGATGTCACGTCTGCAGGACTCTTCTGTCACTTTCTGTTGCTGCTTAACGAAATAAAAGTAATCAAACTCCAAATCCGTCATGTTTCCCCCGAGACAGGAAGTGATGTCATGGAAGCCAGATGCCGCCTGTGTGTGTTTGACTAGCAAAATACAATGAACAAGCATCGTTTTGTGGAATAAGTTCAAGAATAAACATTTTGTCCATATTTGCAGCATTGATCTGATTATGTGTACGGTAGCAAGAATGTGATGCTGCTTTTTGGCACGCGTAGGCCATGAAATGAAATTTCATCAAAGTATCACCAATAGATGAGATTTTTCTTGCTCTCCGGGCCCTGTTCTTGCAGATCGACTGTATGCATGTATATGGAGATGTGATGTGGTTAAAAAGAAAGCAGATCACCTGACTTTGAACTTCTTGCAAGAGACATTGGCAATGATGTCGTAAAGAGGCGACGCAGAAGTGAAACAAGAAGTTTGAATGCATCACGCTATCGTCTGCCTCGCCCCCTTCTGAAGACCAAGCGACAGGAAGTGGTAGAGTGCCTTCCTGTTACTTGTCACTCATTACCTTCACGATGGCCGTCGCACTCGTCTTGCTGCTCGTCACCATCGGGATGGATGCTGTTGGGACGGACGCTGTTTTGCCGCTCCAGGCGCACTCTTCCTTCCTCTTTAGTGAGTCATTCTTGTCCTTCTTGTTCCACTTCCTGTGCATCTGATTGGACCTTGGTCACATGATACGTGCTCTATGATTTGTAACCATGGAAACATTGACCGACATGATGACGACGATTGAGGCGGTCACTCAGTGTTGTCGTGGTGACCCTCGCAGTCTTGTCCGTCAAGCTGTCAATCAAACTGTCAATGTGTCATCCATCTGGCCAGAGCTCAGACCACTTCCTGTATCAAGTGTCACGTCTGAGCTCAGAGAGGAAGTGGTCCGTGTGCATGGAAACCGTTTTTGTGCTCAGACTCTCCCGACAGGCCACTCGTGCGCTTCTCTCTGGCCGACACCCACAACTTCACCACGCTGCTGCTGAGCGACGACCACGACACGCTCTACGTGGGCGCGCGGGATGCTGTGCTTTCGTTGGACGTGAGCGCCGGTGACGTCCTGACCCTGAAGAGGAAGGTGAACAGATGCGGTTGGCGCCCGCCACTCTGTCCGAACGGTGCCTGACCGCGACGCGTCTACCCCTTCCGCAGGTGTCCTGGCGTCCGACGGACTCCGATGTGGACGTCTGCCGGAGCAAAGGGAAGAACGCCACGGTAACCTTTGACCTCTGTGAGACTCTTCATGTGTTTCCGTGGTGGGTGGAAGATCAAAGACGATGTGTGTGTGCGTGTAGATGGAGTGCGGAAACTTTGTGGGGGTGTTGCAGCACCTGAACGCGTCGCACTTGTATGCCTGCGGCAGCTTCGCCTTCCACCCACGTGACGCCTTCCTGGTGAGTGCAGCCGTCGGCCTTCCTGCGTGGGCATGCTGATGACATTCTTGTACTGTCACCGTTCCTGTTTGAAGACTCCTCCTCCCCCTGCAGGACGCCGACACCTTGGCCATGACCCGCCTGCCAGCTGTCCGAGGTCGCTGCCCATTCAGCCCGTGGCAAAGGAGCACCGCCCTCGTCGCGGGTCGGCAATGACGCCGCCGGTCGCCGCATTCGGGTGACGTCAAGTGCATAAGCCCCGCCTCCTGACTGACTGTTTGTGCGGGTTGCAGACGGCGAATTGTTCACCGCCGTAATGGCCGACTTCAAGGGAGTCACGCCACTCATCGCGCGACACTTCAGCAAAGGCGGACGTCCAGACGTCAGCCAGGAGTCATCGCCCATCCTACTGGAAGGTGACGCTCCGCGCGCACGGGCTCCCCTAGAATGGCCGTCACCCTCACTTCCTGTGTGCAGAGGCAGATTTTGTGGGCTCTGCCCTGGACGCCGCCGAAAGGAAGGTCTTCTTCTTCTTTAATGAAGTGGCCAAGGAGTTCAACGTCCACGAGGAGCAGCACGTGGCGCGCGTGGCCAGAGTCTGCCAGGTGCTCTGGGACTCACGCCAAGGACACTCACATTAGCATGTAGCATGTAGCTAAGCACACAGCAAAACATGACCTTTAGGCATACCAAAGAGGCAACAGGCCAACGCTAACTAAACAACCCGCGTTGTGGCCGGCAGGATGACGTGGGCGGCGTCCAGATCCTGCAGAAGAAGTGGACGTCGCTGGTGAAGACGACACTCCGCTGCCTGCCGCCTTTTGCCGTCCTGCGCGACATCTTCGCCCTCCCCCTGCCGCCGGAGGATGGAGAAACCACCCACACGCTCTTCTACGCCGTCTTCAGCTCACAGTGGTGCGCAACAAACCTTACCTTGTCCTACTGTTACAACTAGTGACAGTAAAAAAAAAAAGAAAAATGTCCATAGATGTCAACGAGTACTGTGTGCTCAGTTGCCTTAATACTGAGAACAAAGACTGTCCTTAAGCCGTCTATCGCGGATGCCACTCGCTCCACTTCCTGTCGCTGTCGCAGGTCCCTCCGTCCCGAGTCGGCGGTGTGTGCCTTCCGGCTGGCGTCCCTCAGGGAGGCGTTCGCAGGCCCCTACAGGCACTTCGATGCTCACACTCACCTGTGGAGCCCCCTGCCGGCCAAGAGCTCCTACTTCGGGCAGGTTTGTCTGTCACCCATAAATGAAATGACCGCACTTTTCGTCATCATGCCTCGGTGACTCAGCAATTTAGTTGACTACATCAAAATCCCCATGCGCACAGATTGGGGAATAGCATCTCAATCCATTGAACACAAAAAAATTACTTAGTCGGACTCCATTGGCAATATTAACCATGATTCGCTTCAAATGTCATTTATCTCGGCCCCCAATGTCAAAATCCCTCTGGTGTGAAGTGATTCGGAAGTGGCCCCATGCGCACAGATTGGGGAATAGCATCTCAATCAATGACTCCCAACACAAAAAATTACTTAGTCGGACTCCATTGGCAACATTAACCATGATTCGCTTCAAATGTCGTGTGGTGTGAAGTGATTCGGAAATGGCGAATGATTGTGTGTGTGTGTGTGTGTGTGTGTGTGTGTGTGTGTGTGTGTGTGTGTGTGCAACCAGTGTGGCCTGGAGGGGGCCTCGCACAGCAAACTGGAGGAGGTGAAGCGCACCTTCCTGACAGATGGCCACGTGGCTCCAGAGCAAAACGGCCCCCTGCTGGTCTCCACCCACCACCGCTACAGTCGTGTGGCGGTCATGAGCGTGCGCGCGGCTGACGGCCGGCGTTACCAGCTTCTCTTCCTCCTCACCGGTGAGCCTCAAAGACACGTGCTTGCAAGTCATTTACATCGCCCATCAAAGTGTTTTTTACTCCTTTGGTTTTTCCTGCCGACGCAAACCTCAAAGACACGTGGTCACGACCGATGTGTTACTGCAAACATGAAACATGAAAGAGATGTGATGTCAGTTGAGTGTGTTTGCATTTCTAGAAACTGGAATCCTGCACAAAGTGTTTTTGTCTTCGCGGGGTCCGCGGGTCATTGAGGAGATTGCGGTGCTGGAGCGCGGCGACCACGTTACGGCCTTGGCGCTGTCGGCCTCCAAGGTGAAGTGGAGGTTTGACGTCATCCGGCCCGTTAGACGTCTTTGCTGAATGCGTGTGTGGCATTATCAGGGCGTAGCATTCGTCGCCTCGTGGGGCGGCGTCACCGCCGTGCCAGTGGCTCAATGCTCCACCCACCGCTCGTGCGGACGCTGCCTATTGGCCAGAGACCCTCTTTGCGGCTGGAGCCGAAGCAGGAAGATGTGTGCCCGTTTGGACCAGGAACGAGAACGTGAAAAAGCCAAAGACCAGGAACCGGGACAGGAAGAACGCATGTATGGACCACGCTGTCATGCCGGCGTCATTATTGATCATGTTTTGATCACTTATAATCATGTATTGATCACATAATCATCACATACTGGGTGGGCTAGCGGGGGCAGAGGCACAAGGTCAGGTTCACACGGAGGAATTTGTTCAAATTTTAAGACTGTTTATCTTCAGTGTGACAGAGACCTTCCGCACAGAGAACAACTCCATTGAGACTGGTTAGGGGATTAGGGATTAGGGGGTTAGGATTAGGGTTACGAAGGGTTAGGTGTAGAGTTGGGGTTCGGGTTGGGGGGGTAGGCTTAGGGTTGAGGTTAGGGTTAGTGTAAAGGTTAGGTTAGGATTTGGGTTTGGGTACGGGTTCGGGGATTAGGGTTCGGGATAGGGGTTGGGGTTAGGAATAGGGGTGAGGGTTAGGTTTAAGGGTTAATGTTAAGGGTTAGGGGTTCAGGTTAGGGGGTAGGGTTAGGGTTAGGGGTTGGAGTTAGGGTGAAGGTTTGGGGGTTAGTGTTAGGATGAAGGGTTAGGGGGGTTAGGGTTGAGTGGTTAGGGTTACGGGTTAGAGTTTGGGTAAGGTTAGGGGTGAGAGTTAAGGTTAGGGTTTGGGGTTAGCGTTCGGGTTACCTTCCGACGGAATCTTCTCGCTGGCACATATTGATGACATTCGACCACATATTGATGATGTACAGCCTGTCTTTAAATGAGCTCACGTTGTTCACATACTGTTGATGTACGGAGCGCATTTTGAACATGTGTGCTGATCAGGGTTCAACTCCTGGAGGGTGGTGACGTGGCGAAGGCATGTCATGGTGAAGGCGGAAACCCCCCTGTCAAAAGTGAGACATCGAGTTGTGAACTCTGATGGCGTGTGCCGTTTGACATGTGGCATCTGGTGTGTGATGTCTGCCTTGTGATTTGTGACGTGTAACATGAAATGTGGCATGAGATGATCCACGTCTGACCGTGGAGTGTGGCATGTGTTGTGTGTCGACTCACCAGTGGGTTGTGATGTGACATATGTCTGACGTGCCACCTGTAACTTGGCGTATGATATCTGACGTGACGTCTGGTATGTGCTGTGTGCCGCATGCAGATGTGGTGGCGGGCGTCAATGAAGTCGTCAGGCTCTGGTGTTACAAACCTTGGGAGTCGTGCACGCTGAAGTGGACGTCCTCGCGAATCCGAGACCTCCTGCCGCGACTGTTCATCCAATCGGGGGACGGCAGCCTAACCTTCTTGGCCAACGCAGACACGCTGGACGAATACCACTGTCAAGCAGAAGAGGACGGCTACACGGAAACGGTCGCCAGCTACAAAGTCATTGCGTCGGCTCGACCGCGCTCCATGCGCCCTGGTGCCGGTGCAGAGAACGACTGGACGACCATCGGGGTGGGGTCCACATCTTCTCCGCCACAGGTGCTCTGTGAAAGGCGGAGCTACGAGGGAAGGCTGGCTGGGGTGGCCCTGGTGCTGACCACCTGCATCTGTTTCCTGGTGTCAGTCGCAATCCTGGCATGTGTCCGCAGGAAGTCCGCCAATTGTCATGAGGGTACATCATCATATACCCAGGATGACAAAAAACATGACAAAGTTTCAGAGCCGAGGGTGGAGCTACGACAACTCCCTGACAAGCAACACTTAACCAACACGCCATCTTAGCTTGGTGTATTTTAGCTCATTTTAGCTTATCAACATTAGCATTGTGAAGCCGAACTTGAAATTCATTTGAAATGATGAAATTTGTAACTAATGGCGGTCATTAAATGAGCTGTGAAACACATCGTCTGCTTCATTTTACAATAACCAAAGCAAAAAAGCAAATAACCCCCAAAAAATTGGTGTATTTTTATGTATAACAATTTACCATGCCATTGTGTTTTGTACATTTGAAAAAAAAATACAATTAAAAAAAAAAGTTACGTAAATGACGGGAAATGTTTGTGGTGCTTTCAGTGTCTGTAGGAACTATTGCAATCCATCTTCAAATTTTACTTCGTGTTTTGGCTCGACCAGTTTGACGTCCATCGAACAGGTTTTAGGGCCTGTCGTACGAACAAAACGACTGATTATTTATGTATTGTTACTCCGTATATTGTAACACTTGACGCGGTTATGTGTAGTGGTGTGATAGATGTCGGTTCTTTGTACAATTTTTACAGGTGCCAACAAACGCATCATCTCAATCTCCGTGGTTTGGTCTCACGATCAAATCGACTTGACTAGGCATTTTACTAACATCCAGTTATTTAACTTATTTAGAATATTAGGGAGTGGAGTGTCTCAAGAGTGCCGTTGAACGTCCACCGAGCAGCAGGTGAGTTTGTTTTTGTTGTTTTTTTTGGAGACGTCGCGTCACTTGTCTTACTTCCTGCTTTCCTTTTCGCCAAACGTGACGCATTCACCGAAACTCGTTTTAAACTTGTCCACTTTGATACGTTTTGCTGTTTTGTGGGACAACGACAAGAAGTCTTATGGAGCGACAGCTGATCACCGAAACAGGACACATTTATGCGCAATTCGGGTTATTTCACGCCATGTGAAATCTACGCGTTTGGCGGACGGACGACTTGTCAACAAGCCTTTGCGTGTGAAAAATACGCCCCGAAATGTTTCCATCCATCTACTACTCACAAAAAGTTTGGGATAGTTTGGTGTTCTGGTGAAATTTATGTAAAAGGTTCACGCTACAGTGATGTCATATTATGATTGGATTCGCTGGTGATTTCCTCATCTCAAACAAATCAGTGAAACAAAAATGAAAGGTAAATAGTGAAGTAAGTTTACAAAGTCCCAAATGAAACATTTTTATGTCGCAAGTAGTTAAGCAAAATACATTCAAGAATGAAAAACAATGTCTTAAATTCGACAAACTAATCGTTTTCCCGAAGTGAAATCCTGACGAGCGACAAACCCAGAAGTGTGACGTCACTTTAAGACAACAATAGCAGGGCTCACGATGGAAAATGTACACAGCCGGTCAGAAATCGATTCGAAAAGCGACATTTTACACATATCTGAGAGAATCCAGATGTTTGAAGAGTTGGAGGAAGATGAGGTTGTTGGCAAGATGTATATTGGACCATACATGTATGAGCCGGATGCGCAGGAGGTCAGTCTGAGTGTTAGGAAGTGGACGCAAACCATTTTCACAGCGTGGCGGGCATCAAATGGCACCACAGATGACATTGCACATATTAACGGCCAGGTAAATGTTCTCGCTGTATTATGGGAACAACTCATCTCCAGTCATTACCAGGACTTATGACCCGTCGTCTTGCCACATCGCGTGTTGTGGTCGAAGCGGGTCGTATTGGAAATTACCACTTGCCTTTGTCTTGTAAAAAGCCCTCAAACGCGCTTCTTTCAAAGTCGGTGATTGAGCAAGGGTTGACTTCTACAAAAAGGTGTGTCCTTCTGTGGCAGAATGGCAACGTCTTCGTCCGTCACGAGTGTCGGCGGCATGCTGATCGTCACGCAGGTCATCCCGCAAGATGTCGGAGACACAAAATCCATCCCGCTACACTCCGCAGCTGCGGCTCCGACCACCGATGAGCAGACCACGTCACCTGCGCTTCCCGCCAAGAAGGACGGCGGCTTTGCTGATTACCAGCGAGGGGAGATCCCCGGCCTCGGGGTGAGGTCCCCACAATGCCTCCGGATGCTGCGCCACGCAAGAGCTTGATGTTTGTGTGTGCGTGTCTTTGCAGGTCGTCCAGCTGGTCATCGGGTCGCTGTGCGTTCTCTTCAGCCTGACGGCCATCTCGCGGTTCCTGCTTGTGCACGTGGCATTTTGCCTCTGCGTCTGGGTGAGTTGACTGCCGACATGTGACGTTATTATGTTCATATGATGTGTGTGATGGGTGCACTGACATACAGTGTGTCATGTTATGTGACATGTGATGGGACCCGCCAGGATTTATTATTTGCGAGACTTTCATTGTTTTTAATTGAGGCGCAAAATGCAAAGTTTGACCCAGAAATCGTGACGCATCATTTGCCTTGTAACGTATATTAGTCATGCGACGTGGTGTGACGTGTTTTGCGGAATGTGTCGACATTTCAAGTGTTTGATTAGCGCCCTCTGCTGTCCCTCCAGTTTCTGGTGTCTGGTTGGCTGTCATTGGCGGCTCACAGGAAGACCTCCATCCGGCTGGTGAGTCTCCTTTTGATGACATCACGCTGATCCCATTGTTCTTCTCCCGCTGGTCAGCCCTTTTGTTGTGTCGTGCAGATGTGGGCGTGTCTGTGGTCCAACGTCATCAGCGTCCTGCTGAGCCTGGGAGGCATTGCCTACCTGAGCTGGCTGCTAGCAACCAGTTGGTCCTCTGAGGACGTCTGCGGCGAGCAGTTGTTCGACGATTCCTCAGCATGGAATCACTGTGTCTCAAATCTGAGATTATTGAACGTAAGTTTGACCGTGGACGAGCCGCCGCATAGTTTAAGCCAGTGGCTCACCGAGTGGCCTATCATCGTTACACGGTACTTGCCTGAGTCGTCATCGGACGCTAGAATTCCACCCACAGCAGACTGGAGCACGTGTTTATGCTCAGCTGGGTCTTGTTTTGATGGAGCGTCAGTTGCTTTAAGCAAGCGGAATAAGGTAGCCGTAAACGGGATATCCGAAAGCAGGGCTGTCAGCTACCTGTTTTTTTCCAGTCCGTGCTTCAGGGCCTGCGCGGCCTCGTCCTGGTTCTGCTGTTCCTGGAGGCCGGCGTCTCTCTGCTGCTCTGCGTCTGCATCACCAAAGCCATCAGGACACGCTTCCACTACGCGCCCATCATGGTAAGACGGCACCCGTTGTCGTCTTCCAATCACCGATCGCCATGTCTCACGTTTGACTCTTACCAGGTGGGGAGCGGAGGCAGCTGCTCTGGCGGCAATGACGAGGCCTAGCTCGATTCACCGTGACAATCAACGCAACATTGTGACAGCATCATTGAAGCATGACCATTTGATTTACAACACAATGAGAGGAGTAACAGAACAGCATCATAACGTTTTTTTTTTTCCACGATATAATAGGGTAGTAGTGACATTATAGCCTTTGTGTGTATGGGGTCGGGGTTGTACTGTGATTTTTATATTGTGGCTCATTAGCGAGCTAAATTAAGAATGTGTCCTCATTATATCCCCCATGAGCCTTTGCTTGATATCGTTGCACAACTCTGAGATGCATCAGTGCCTACACAATAAGAAAGTTGGTTGTGTTTTCTTAAAAAGAGGTTGGACAAAATATTTAGCTTCAAGCAGACATAGGAGCTAGCCAAATTTAACACTGCCGACATGTTCACCACATGAGTTAAGACACTTCATGCAAACAAGCTTCACGTCACTTACCGGAAGTCGCGCGACTCGCACGGATATTCGTTTCTTCACTTTGCAGCTTGCTTGCGTTTGGTCAGTTAGCGTGTAGCATTAGCCGCAGGGGGAAATTGCACCTCGCTGCATTTGAAATCAACCAAAATCAATAAATGTGTCAACAAATGTCCTGGTCTGTTTGGTTCTTTAATGCCAAGTGGAGTGCATGTGACTGGCAAACTTATGAAAGTCACACATGCAAAAATGTCGATATTGATGGACAGATACAACACATGCACTCTCAGTAAAAAGTTTGGACACAGTTCCTCATCCTAATGTGTGTACAACTTTATGACTGGTCATGAAATACACACGCATACATGACATATACTTGTAACTTTATGTTTGCCAAGACTGGTGCGCAAAATACTGAAGTGGTTCACCTCAGTCGAAGGTTTGAAGAAAGGCTCTTCACATTAAAAGCTTTGTTGGGACTAAACAAGTGTGGATCGATATCCCCGCTCCTGGCAACCTCAAAAACTTTTTTGCTGAACTTTTCCTCTTTCTCTGACAATCAAGCTGCCGCTCGATGCAAGAGAGCCTGGCTGTGCAGACGTCATCGCTCAGCCACCCCGAACGGCTCGCTTTTATTGTGAAATTTGACACCAGATGTAGGAGGAGAACTATTTGTCACTGCTGTGTCGTCGGTGCGCAAACTTTTCTTCCCTCTTGCACTCACTGGCGTAGGTTTCTCTATTTTGACTTTCCCGTGAAATCCAATTTTCAGGAAGGGAAACGTGCGCCGACCGGATGCGTTCGCTGCTGGATTTCGTCTGTTTAGCATTCGCGAGCTAGCTTGTGATTAGCTCCCCCCTAGTAAGGACACATTGAACAAGTTGCAATCAGGATTGGTTGGTCGCTACTGCTACGTGTAAACTGCATTACAAGGACGTGATTGGCGGTGCTTGTTTGTTTCCGACAGAGGAGCAAGTGATCACGTGGTGTATGGAGATGGAGGTTTTGCGGAGGGTTATAGTATGGACGTGCATGGATGGGGCGGCGCCGCAGATGGTTCCCTTCCTCCAGGTGCGTGTCACCTTTCCGTTCTGGGCTTGGCGCCCATCCTGACCCGGACACGGTCTCCGCCCTCAGAGCGTGACGGGCAGCTTGGGCTCTGGCGACCAGGCGAGCATCCGTTGGCGGCTGGATCAGAACCGCCTGGTGCTTTCCCGAGACCCAACCGGCATCCTCCTCCAGGTAGCGACCGCTTGGCACTTACCTTATTGCCAATGAAGTTGATTTGTTATTATTCATTCGGGTATGGGTCCGGGGGGAATTCCTGGACCTGATTGACAGTTTACCAGTCACTCTGATGACCGTGACTGCTTTTTGCTTGTCAGAGGCCCGCCTATTGTCCCATCAAACACCTGTCCGTCAAAGAGGCGGCCGCTGTCCCATTGGACATTCAGCAGAGGGGAGTGGACGTGGGAGTGGCCATCATCCTTCAGTCTGCCGATCAAAGAGTTTTGCTGACCCGACGAGCAAAACACCTGCGAATATTTCCCAATATTTGGGTGTTGCCAGGTCAGATATCTGCCACCATCTTTTTTCCCCCCTTAGGGGCCACGCCCACCTTCTCTCACGCTGCTTTTCTCCTACAGGCGGCCATCTTGAACCGGATGAGACGGTACGTTTTCCCGGACTTGTCAGCTGCCTGGCAACATCCCAGTGTGTGCACTGTGCATGTGTGTCAAGGTTCCGATAGTTACCTGTCAGTCACAAAATAATTAAAACAACAAATGTAGCTTCTCGAGGCGGGTCTGCGGGAGCTGAAGGAGGAAACGGGATTGGCTGTGGAAGCGGAACAATTCCCAAGTGCAAAGTTTCTGGGTGTGTGGGAGGTGAGAGCAGGATAGTGTGTGCGCGTTTGTCGATCAAATCCAAGTAATCACTGGTGCGTGTCAGTCAGTGTATCCCCTCATGCTGAGCAGAGGACCTCCCCAACGGCACCACCTCGTGGTCTACGTGCTGCTCCACTCGGCCCACACGCATTTGCAGCTCCAGGTAATCTTAATTTGGGCTTCAACTATTATTTGATTCAGACAATCTATCTTTTTAATTAAAAGATGAATTTTGAAAATACACAGAAAATCAATCTGCTTTGAAGGAGAACTACAGAAAATGCAGATTTAGTTTACTTTTAAGGTTTGGAGCAATGTGAAGTTAATGTCTCAAATGGATTATCATAATAGTTGTCGATTCATTTGTCAATTCATGTTTGTGTTAGTTGCAGCCCTGACACTAACCTAGCATGCTAACCTAGCGTTGACTGAACATTGGAGCGTAATTGATGATACGTGTCAATTATGTCATCAGGAGTGTCTGCGCCCCTCCCCCGCTGAGGTGAGCGCTTGTCTGTGGGCTGACGCCCCACTGGCCAGCGCCTCGGTGGCCGCCGTGGATGGGCAGGACTGTTCAGCAGCTGAAACGGACGAGCCAGAAGGCCTTCCTGCCTCCGTCAGGTATGGTGCTCAGGACCCCTGATGGGGTGACAAGCACGTGACCCTTGACCCGTGTCCCCTATCAGGGTGTCCGAGGTGTCCCCTGATGGCGGACTGAAGAAAGGCGCCCTGCCCGTCTGTGTCCTCTTGCGCCGCGCGCCGCCCAGGGGGCCCGACGTGGAGCGAGTCAGCGCAGGGACCAAGTTTGCCCTCAACCTTTGGCTCAAGACGCTCCGACCCAGCCCAACACTATTTCAGTCATGATGTCATTAGACATGTCTGAGTCCCAAGAACCCCCCACTTGCCATTGTGTAAATGTATCTGTGTATTGTGCATCAAAAGTGGACTTTCTTCATTTGTCACAATGTTCCCAAATACAAGTTGTAATTGAGTTGTCAAAATATCTATTAACCTTTACACGACTTTGTGCTTCTTGACTTTCAATGTATTTGATTAAAATGTATGTCTGCAATATTTCATGTCCTTCTACAAACAGACACAGACAAACTCACAGATAAACAAGCACAACACAAACGGGCGCGCACACATACTGACCAATCCCTGGGTGGACGGGCAGGTACAAGTTGACAAACAGAGGGACACAAAACGCAATTGACTTTCTCCTTATTCTACGTCGGCAGCTTGTTTTTCACTTTTACTTTGTTGGGCACAAGTAGGAAGCAGTTACTCATTTCCGGTAGGGGGCAAGATGGCGGCGCCCGATGAGCTGTTCGTGTGGGAAGGAGATTGGGGTCTGCCGTCCGTCAACAGCGACTGCTTGGTGCTTCTGGTCGGTTCCTTTTTGATTTTGGGGTCGTTTTGTGTTTGACGTTAGTTGCGTTTTGTGGCGGCGGCGTTCACGATGCCATGTTTGCATGCTAACGAGAAGAGACGGGATATACTCGGCGGTGCGACGGAACAAACAAGTGCATGATGTCAAGACTGCACGTCAGAGGGCGACGTGAATTTATAAGCAACTTCCTCCAACTATTGTTTTATTTTAATTGAGCCTTTTTTTTAACCAGGTAAGCCAATTAACAAATTCTCGTTTATGTTGTCGATCTGGCTGCAAGACAGCAGAGTAAAACAAAATAAATATAAATGCATACGTCTTACTATACAATGTGTGGAAATTACATATTTACACATGACATCACAGTATATCGTCACGCTAACTGCCTCATTCACTTTTTTTTTTAACCACAGTCAGATATTTTCAGGAAATGATGACTCCATACTTTAGTGCAGTTCCAAAAATGCCCATCTCAAAGACAAACGATGAGTTAGGGATTTGTTATTAGCATGACGATGTGATTAATAAAAGATTCATAAAAGCCCAAAAACAGGTGCACCTTTTTTTAACAGTGTCCCTTTCAACGATAGACTATTTGAGCTAGTTGGAATCCATCCATTTTCTAATCTACTTATCATAACAAGGGTCTCGGGCGTGCTGGAGCCTTTTCCAGTTGTCTTCGGGCTGGGCGGGGGAGGGGGTACACCCTGATGTGGTTGCCAGCCACTCACAGGGCACACAGACACAAACAACCATTTGCGCTTGCAATCACACCTAGGGACAATTTCGTCGTGTTTTTAGATGATGGCGTGTGTTTGTAAATGTTGTGCCGTGTGTTCCTGACAGGCGTACGCTCAATTTTCCGGCGCTCCCCTCAAAGTTCACAAGGTGTGCAACCCGTGGAGATGTCCTGGAGGTGAGAGAGAGAGAGACTCCTTCTAACTCCCACGCCTGCCGACAGAGGGCGCCACCTCACCTCTTCTTTACCTTTTAGGTGCCATTCCCGCGCTGAGGACCGCCCACAAGGAGGCGCTGTGGCGACCCTCTGACATCATCATCCACCTACGAAAACAGGCACGTAACAAAACACGTCCCGTAATAATGGCACTGCGGCGATTTCGACGTTATTCAGGTCAGCAGCAAGTCATGCATGAAATGTTGTCATATCCGCAACAATGATTGCTGTTCCAAAGAAGTCAGAATATTAGAAACGGTTATATGACACACTCCAGTTTTAGATGCACGATGATAAGAATATATGGTTCCATTATTATATCTTTGTCATTCAAAAGCCAACATCAGTATCTTCACAGTGTATAATACATACAATGCTATGAAAAAGTCATTTTCCCATTTCTATTTTTTTTTTTTTGCATTGTTTCCCTTCCTTGAATGTGTAAGATCCTCAAACAAATGTAAAGTCCCAACTGTAAATGTGGCCTTTCTTTCCATCAGACAGATGTTGAGGGCTTTTCAAGATGTTTTTTTTTGTTTTCAAGAATGTCAGACGTCTTGGAAGAGGTTCTGGTGACATTTTCCTGCCGTTTCTCTTTCTTCATAGTGGTTCTGACCCACATTTTCCTCATCAGACCCCCCACCCCCACCCACCCCAACGCACCAATACTTCTCCTGGCAGCTGGAAGTCATTAACCAGCATGCTCGTAACATAAGTAGGGATGTGGGTGGGTGCGATTTTGTTGATCACATGCACTTCGAGGTGAATCCATCCCATTATGAGAGCAGCCATGTGTCCCGAGCGTAGCGAGGTGACTCAGAGGGGAAAAGCACATGTTGGTTGTTGATGGTGTTGTCATGACAATCTCGATTCTTCTTTTTTTTCGGTGTCCTTTTTCAGAAGTACAACGCAGACTTTGACCTCTCGGCCAAGGAGGCCGCAGACAGCCTCGCCTTCATTGCACTCATCCAACAGAAGCTCACGCCGGCCGTGGTGCGTACGTGTGTGCATGTGTGTGCCTGTCTGTGTGTGTGTGTGTGTATACATGCGTGTGACAATTTTCGACTTGTGCGTTGTAGTTATACGCACTGTGGGTGGAGCCCAAAAACTATGTGGAGGTGACGCGGCGCTGGTACGCTGAGCACATGTCCTTCCCGCTCAGCTTGTTCCTGCCGGGCCGCATGCAGCGCCACCAGCTGGATACACTGCGGCTGCTGCGAGGGGATGCCAGCCTGGAGGCTAGCGAGGAGCTGGAGAAGGAGGTGAGCAACGTCCACGCGGGCGTCTTGCCGCAGCACTTTCCAGCCTCTTGTATATTCGTGGAAAAACTTATGCAATGGAACATCATCATCAGCAGCGGCAGCAGCAGACGTTTGTCTTTTTCTCACTTGGCCCCCACGTGGCCGTCAGCTCGCTCTTTTAAAAAAAGGCTGTGCTAGCTTGCTAGCCAAGATGAAGCAGCACTGCCTGTTAGCATGTAGCACAGGACGCATTTTGTTTTATTTGCTTTGGAAGTCAAGTCAATTTTCTTGGCGAGTCTGGAAGGCCTTCAGATAAATCTAGCCCATGACCCGCCCACCACAACTTCAACTTATGTGATTTTCTCGCGAAACTATTTGTTGATTAACTTGATCATCTATAAATTGTTGCATGTCCAGCAGCTTGTTTGGAAAACTTGTCCATGTGCAAAACCTGAAAAATAGAAAGGAAGCAAAAGAATCACTTCAAGTTTGGAAATGTGGACAATATGGCCGCTTGTATTGAAAGAGCACATGGCCGAGATGATGATGCCTGATGATGATGAAGGTGATCGTATTTTGCCTTCCAGTTGTACGGCGACGCCACCGACTGCATGGACCTGCTGGCGCAACGACTCGGAACGCAAAAGTTCTTCTTTGGAGACTCGTGAGTCCATCACTGCTACGATCAACATCGTTTACTGTGATGACTTTCATGAAGGCCAATAATATACGCGCATGTTCCCCAGGCCTTCGTCTCTCGACGCATTTGTGTTCGGCTGGCTGGCTCCAATCCTCAAGTGCAAACTTCCCAACGGGAAACTGCAGCAGCATCTCAAGTCTCTGGACAACCTGCATGCGTTTTGCGCCAACATCCTGCTCATCTACTTCCCCAGTCAGGACACGCCCCACCTCTGTACGTTCCATGACCGCTCGCGTCGGCAACGCCGCTGACCGCCGCACCTGTTTTTCTTTTTACCCATCCACAGATAACAGCGCTCCCCGGTCTGGCCGCTCGGACGAGTGCCGGGACCCCGAGCACGTGCCCAACCGACGCACCAAGCAGTTCCTGTCCGCGCTGGCGGCGCTGGGCGCCATGTTGTCCTACGCCTTGCTCACCGGCATGGTGTCTGTCCAGCATGGCCACAAGGGGGCGGTGGAGCACAGCGGACTTTCGCACCCCCACCAAGACGATGACGAAGACGACTGAATTCAGCAACCGCTTTGGGATTTTCCTCACGTTTCCTTCGCATTTGGCAGCTGTGTTTTGTCTGCCTTTCTTCCATATTTCACTTCATCCACCTTTCTTGGGTTTCCTCTTTTTCTTTGTTGTTTCATCCATGCTTTCCTCCGACCTTCCTTCCTGCTTCCTTCATGTGGACACGGGAATGGCCATGAATTAAAAAAAGTAATTTTTTAAAATTTTTTTTGCTTTTTGAAATATTGACAATAAAGCTCATGAGAGCTCCGCCCATCAGTCTGGACTCCAGCTGCACTGCATGACACCAAAGCTGAGGAATGTGTGTGTGTGTGTTTAAACTAGATAATCTGGAAGTAGTTTGCTGTTGAGCTTTATGTTGTTAGGTGATGAAATAAAGGCCTCGGCCCATGCTGAGAACACTGTTATTATGGCAACAATGGTTTACAACAAACACACGTTTTCACTACAACGGGCGCACACACACACACCACACACACACACACACACGCTTCGTGGGGAGCCCTCGAGTTGAAGTCGAGTTGACCTCTCAACTCTGTGGTTGAAAACGTAGTCACGTGATGAAGATGCACTACATACTACAGCGAGTAACGTCATCGGACTATATTTTTCCTCTGTTGCCCGCATACATACACACAAAAAAAGACTTGGTCGTCGTGACGTCATGTTTTCCAGCCTGGGCCGGCGCGCGCGGAGCACTCCGGGCCGCTACTGGGTCTTTTTCCATTTTTTTTTTTGTTTTTCTGCGTCCGCGGCGCGTGTGGGCCCGCCCTCTTTCCCGTCCGTTCCTGACTTCCGGCCGGCCACGCGCTCCCGCCACTGTGGTACGCGCGCCCGCGGCTGGTCGGCGTCAGAGCGCGCCTGTCTGTGAGCTGGAGAGGATGAAAATGATGACGATGAAGATGGAGATGATGACGTTTGTGCTGTCAGTGATTTTGCTGAGCACCGCGGCACAACTTCCAGAGCAGCAAGGTAACACACCTTTCACCTTTCGCTCTTCGTCTTCATCACTTCAAGTTCTTCCTCTCACACGTCACTAACTTGATTGACAGCAGGGATTTAGGGGGCGGGGGGTTGGGGGAACACAAAAGATGTTAAGCATGCATTTCATCAGGGCTTCTCAAACGTTTGACAACAAGTAGCATCTCCAAAAATTGTGGCTCTCCACCAAAAACTACCGAAAATTATTGAATGAAGAATGTTTCTTTTATTTTTAAAGTAGAGCTATCCACTACAAAACTACGAACCTCTCAACTTACAGAATCATATTGCTGCCACAAAAGGAAAAAAAAAGTTCAACATCACATTGGGATATAAATGAAATGTTCGAATGTGAAAAGTTTCGTTGGGACCTCTTGCGAGTTCCTTGCTGCGTCACTATGCTGCTCTTTGATAATATTATCCATCAATATATCAACAAATAAGGCCAAGTGTTACAAAAGACGACATGCATGTACCTACATCAGACTACGACAGTCATCTGAAGCGGACTGCATTGCTTTGTTTTGGGTTTGCCCAATGCTGAAGTCAAACTTAACATGTTTTAATGTGATAACTGGTGACGTTGTAGTGTCAAATGTATCACGCTATAGAATGGGACATTCAACATTTTTCTTGTTGAACAGGAATGTGCTTCCGTAGTGTAGCACATAAATGTGAATTTAAAAAAACGTTTTTTTTTGTTTTTTTTTTGTAAAACGAGCAGCTCAAGATCAAATGCAAATGTGTTCTTAAAAGTGGACGAAAACAGAATTCTACTTTCAAAATGTAATGGACTTGAGACAAAAACAGACTGTGCATTTCTAAAAGCTTCGTTACAATATTTGTAAATATTTAAATGTAAAATATTTTATTTGATTGCATTTCACGTTTTAGAAGAAAACGCAGACTTTTTCTTTCGGGGAACAGTGGGTGAGGATTCTTTTTCGTACCACGAGAGGGAGCCCACGGACCAGCACCACTCTGACAATCACCGCACACTACATCAAACAAACTGTTCACCGAACGTCACTCGTATGGTATACAAAACTTTGAACCAATGATTTTGAAAGCCAACGCGACAAGCCGGGACGAGTGAAATGATTGTAAATGTTGTTCTGACAATGCGAGCCCGCCAATAAATCGATTTGAAGAAGCCACGATCCACGGGGGCAGCAGATCCGGCTCGCGACGATGACGTTGCCGAGCGGCAGCATCCCCAAGGTAACCGTCCCGTCTCCTGTCAGTGATGGACGTGCTGAGCGCTCACGACTCCAAGCGTGCGGGCGAGTTTTGGGGCAGTCTGAGCGCACCGGCCGATCTCTACGTTGCGGCGGCCGTTCGCCTGCCGCCCAAGGCGGGCGGCGTCCTCCTCGGCGTGTACGGCAAGCACGACAACAGGAAGTACCTGGAAGTCGCCGTCGTGGCCAAGATCAACAAAGGTGCCCAGCCACTTGCTCATTTATTCGTCACCACTTCTTGTTTTTCTTGACAGCACTTCCTGTTTATTTTAACCACTTCTTTCTCTTCAGGCCACTCCCTGTTAGTCGTAAACAATTCGAATTTGACTTCCTGTTTGTCTTAAGCACTTTCTTTTTGTCTTGATGACTTCCTGGTTGTTTTGAGACAACTTTGTATTTGTCCTGATCACTTCCTGTGTGCACGCAGTGTCGCTCCGCTTCTGGCGTGCATCCGACGGTAAGGTTCACACGGTGAACCTGGCGAACGCCAACGTGTCGGACGGACGCCGCCATTCACTGGTGTTGCGCCTGGGTGACCTGCAACGCGCCAGCGTGAGAGCCGAGCTCTACGTGGACTGCCGATTGGCCGACGCGATGGAGGGCGTGCCCCGCCTGGCTCCCCTCCCCTGGGAGGCGGAAGCCGTGGAGATCCGACACGGACAGAAGGCGTACGCACGCGCGCAGGTACACCTGGCCACGCCTCTTAGCGGCTCTGCATGAATATTCATGAGACCATGTGACCAAAGCTCCGTGTCCGTGATATGAAGCTGTCCGTCATCATATCGCGTTTCATTCTTAGCGGTCTCGCATATTAGTTAACGTGAGTTAACAAGATTAACATTCATTTCCTGCCTCCCACATCACTCACCAGGCCAGGCCACGCCTCTTAAAGCCACATGCCCCTTTTGACACAGAGTTGAGCCACTTTGCTGCGTTTTATTTTATTTTTTCAAATAGCCTCGCTTAAAAATGAGGATACCGAGTCATTTTTGTTGACAAAACTTTTCGGTTTGGCATTGGTACAGAAATTTGGTGCATTACTAATGAAGACGTCGGTGGCCGGACATTTGATCCATAGTTTGATGAATTATTTTATTCGTCACAGACGAGCAAGTTGTACAATGCCACGTCACTACTCTACAGTGCGTGGCTAGCCTTTGCTAATTTCACCGAGATTAGGCTTGCCTAGTCCGTAACAAATAGCAGGACCACTGTATCATGACTGAACAGCGGGGAATGAGTAGTGATTGGGGAATGACGAATGACATTGGCCGGCTGTTTCCGGGTCAGGGTGCCGTGGAGTCCCTGCGAGTGGCGCTAGGGGGCAGTCTGGCCCAAGCCGGCGCCCTGGTTGACTGTCCCTTTCAACGTGACTCCGCCCATAACTTAGGTGAGTGACCCGTCCCCGGTAGGTCACATGACTCCCGACTGCCGTTCTTGAACCGTAACGTTTTATGTCTGCAGCGAGTGGCGAACTGCACGCCATCCTGGGTGAGTGCGTCCAATCCGTAAACGATCGCTTTGAACGCTGATGATGTCATCTGGTGACTCAGCTTTACTTCCTGTCAGCTGACCACGCCAAAGCGCTGATTGGTCAGATGGTCCTCTTCAATCAGATGCTGGGCGAACTACGACAGGATTTCAAGGAGCAGGTGATGTGCACACTCACACAAATACATACACTTACACATATGTACATGCACACATACACATGTTCACACATATACAGGCATAACAAACACACATTTTTTTTCATTACTCACGTGAACAAATCCACATGCATCCAGGTGAAGGAGATGTCTTTGCTGAGGAACACCATCCTGGAGTGTCAAGTTTGCGGTGAGTGTGATGTTGTGAGCGTGCTCCATCTGACCCGACTGAAGCTGTGTGTGTGTGTGTGTGTGTGTGTGTGTGTGTGTGTGTGTGTGTGCGTGCGTGCGTGCATCCTCAGGCTATCACGAGGCACGCTCTCACGAGGCGCGCTCTCGCTGCTCACCCAACCCGTGCCACCCTGGAGTGGCCTGCATGGAAAGCCCTCATTTCCCGGGCTTCACGTGTGGCCCGTGCCCGCCCGGCACCGTCGGAAACGGGACGCACTGTCATGACGTGGATGAGGTTAGTGATCACGCACGCACATTGCACACGTAGGACAATGCGAGCAAGTGACGATGCCATCCCTACGCGGACCAGTGCGAGGCACAGCCGTGCTTCTGGCCGTCGGCGTGTGTCAACACGGATGGCGGCTTCCGATGTGGCCCGTGTCCTCCCGGCCTGCGGGGGCCGCCACTCGCCGGGACTGGACTGCGCTACGCCAAGACACACAAGCAGGTCGCGCATACACATGCATAAACAAACACACATACCCACAGTGAGTCTTTGTGATAGTGTGTGTGTGTGTGTGTGTGCGCATGCATGTGTTTGTTGTGTGCGTGTGCGTGTGTGTGTGTGCATGTGTCTGTGCACATTGGCTTTTGTTTGAGTGTTTTGTGTGCATTGGGTCAACTATTGTTGTGTATTTCTGTTAGCGTGTACACATGTACGTGTGGTTACATGTGTTTGGGGACATTTGTGTGTGCATTTGTGTATCTATGTGTGTAAGTTTGTGCAGAAGTGCATGTGTCTGTTTTGGTATTTTTGAAAATGTTTTGTCTGAATTTTATTGTGTGTTTGTGTATTCATGTTAGTGTGTTTATGTTTGCGTATTATTGTGTTTACACGTGTACCATGGATGTGTACACGTGTGTTTTTTCTGTGTCTTTTTGTGTGTCTCTTGTTTAGTGTTCGCACGTGAAGTTTGCCTGTGCGAATGTATTTATCTGTGTGCAAGCATGTTTCTGTATGTTATGCTGTGTTTGTAAATGCGTACATGTATTTGTGCATATCTGTGCGTGCATGTGTGTTGTTTTTATCAGGAATGTGTGGACATGGACGAGTGCGTGGAGCTTCCCAACGCCTGCGTGCAAAACTCGGTTTGCACCAACACAGAGGTGAGTTGCTGCTGACAAGCCCCGCCCCCTCCCAACGTATCTGTGAAAAGTGATGTCCTGCCTGAACGGACAAGGCTTTTGACAGCACTGCACGCGTCCTTGACATTGTCCAACATCGTCAGTGTTGTTGTGTCTCGTTTGGCTCGGGTTAGGGATCGTTCCTGTGTGGCGCTTGTAAAGCGGGTTACATTGGCAACCAAACTGTAGGCTGCTTCCCCAGCAATTCGTGCGCCACCTTGTCCTACAACCCCTGTGATACCCACGCTCACTGCAACATGGAGAGGAACGGCATCCCATCCTGCACGGTGACACACGCATGCACACCCACACAAACAAGATCCATGTACGTCCTGTTTCTCACTTTGTGCTGACGTGTGTGTGTGTGTGTGTGTGTATGTGTGTGCGCGTGTGTGTGTGTGTGTGTGTGTGTGTGCGCGTGTGTGTGTGTGTGTGTGTGTGTGTGTGTGTGTGTGTGTGTGTAGTGTAATGTGGGTTGGGCGGGTAACGGCAACACGTGCAGTGTGGACACAGACCTGGATGGTTACCCTGACCGCTCGCTACCCTGCTTGGACAACAATAAGCACTGCAGACAGGTCCTCATCCTCCTCATCTTCCTCCTCCTCATCTCCATGTCATCAATCCTGTCACCAGTGGCGACCAATCACATGACGAGCCTCGTGTCCATCAGGACAATTGTGTGTTGACTCCTAACTCAGGTCAGGAGGACGCTGACAACGACGGTATCGGGGATCAATGTGATGATGACGCAGATGGAGATGGGATCAAAAATGTGGAGGTGTGTGTGTGTGTGTGTGTGTGTGTGTGTGTGTGTGTGTGTGTGTGTGTGTGCGCGCGTGGTCATGTGATGTGTGGTCATATGATGTATCCATGTGAAGCGTTGTCTTGGAATGGAATGCAATCCAATTTGTTGTCGTTGCACATTTCACAAGTGGAAAGCAAAGAAATTCACTTAAACAGTTCAAACCAGTTCAAGAGACATAAACAAACAATGACCAAGAAAGGGAGAGAGAAAGGGAAGCCACCCCGATTTTTTTAGATGAAAAAGAACAAAAAAGGAAGGCGGGAGGGGAACAAAAGAAACCCCAAACTACGCGCTTACAAAAGGTGGGGGGGGGGGCACAGTATGGGTTTGGATAAAAAGGAGCAAACAGACACATGAATAGAAGAGACAACAAACAACAACTTAGATACTCGCACACGTGGAAGTGGGCTAGTGGGCCGTCGGGGCGAGGGACATTACAACCCAGATGCAACACATCGCACCGAAACAAGAGAAGGAGTTGGGGGGCAGAAGTAGCTGACGATACGCATTGATAGTAAGGTTGCATTGTGTGGAGTGAGGCTGTGTGCGTAAAAATGTGTCCTCGGTCTCGGCGCCAGCTCGCCAGGTCAGATCGCCTCGTTTCTGTGGAGATGACCTCAATGTGTCCTGAACGGTGGCACTGAGGCACAGGAGGAAGGAGGGTGGGAAGGATAAAGCAATACAGCTCGAGATTCCAGTCGCCGTAAACATCCAGGAAGTATTCATTTGATTCGGGTGTGTTGGCGCAGGGAGAGGAGACATGGCAAACATTCAGGACATCGACTTTCGAGGAACGTACTGCCTCGGCAGTAAACCGCCGGCTACCCAGCTGCAAACGTTTCACCCGGACGTGCAGGCGACGCCTTTTCTGATCTTCTCGTTGTGAATATTTGCTCAATTGCATCAACAGAGCAGCTGATCAATTCCAAAATTTGGATTTTTGGAGGAAAAATATAGAAGGAGATGCTTGTGTGAGTTTTGAGACGAAAAGACTTTTACACCGTCACATAAACATGACATGGATTAAAGTACCGGCTCCGGTCCTGTGACAAGTTTGTTTGTTGCGTTGCGTATGTGCGACAGGACAACTGTCGTTTGGTTGCCAACAAGGACCAGCAGAATTCCGACAGCGACTCGTTCGGCGATGCGTGCGACAACTGTCCCAACGTGCCCAACAGCGAGCAGACGGACACGGACGGAAACACCAGAGGAGACGCCTGCGACCTGGACATCGACGGAGATGGTACGCGTGGCCGCTAATGGCAGGCCGACAGTGGATTCAAAATTCCACGAGACTCCTCACGTGTGTGTGTGTGTGTGTGTGTACAGGCATTCCAAACGTGCTCGATAATTGTCCCAAGGTTCCTAACCCCATGCAGACAGACAGAGATTATGACGGAATCGGGGACGCCTGTGACAGTTGTCCCGAACTCAGCAACCCGACACAAGTACACGCGCGCACTTTTTTCGATTGTGTTGTTGTGTTCTTTGCTGACTACGTTTTTTTTTTTTTTCAGACCGACATCGACAACGACTTAGTGGGAGACATTTGTGACAACAACCACGACACGTACGACACACCCGCATGTCTTGTTTAATGAAATTCAACCGAAATCTAGCAGACGAGTCAAGTATCGGATCGAGGAAAGTAAGCATGCGAAAAACGTTTTGATTGAGGATTTAAGGGATGCACGCAAGTCAACGGCTCGAAGTCACCCGTGGAAGAGGACATGACAATGCGCTGCGTTATGTTCAGGGATGGCGACGGACACCAGGACAACCGGGACAACTGTCCCGACATTCCCAACAGCTCTCAGCTGGACTCGGATAACGACGGCCTGGGAGATGACTGCGACCAGGACGACGACAACGACGGCGTCCCGGACCACAGGGACAACTGCAGGCTCATCGGAAACCCTCACCAACAAGACTGGGACCGTAAAAACAACCGAGCACCGTCTGTGAATGTGTGCATCTTCACATGTGTTGATGTGCGTTCATGTGAATGTGTAAAGTGAACGGCATTGGTGACGTGTGCGAGTTTGACTTTGACAACGACGCGGTCCGGGACGCGCTGGACGCATGTCCCGAGAGTGCCGAGGTGACGCTGACCGACTTCCGGGCTTATCAGACGGTCGTTTTGGATCCCGAGGGCGACGCCCAGATTGACCCCAATTGGGTGGTCCTCAATCAGGTCAGGCGACACAGCTTCCTGCTGGTCAACTTCATCTTCGGGGTTCTTAGCTGACTTCCTATCCTCTCTAGGGGATGGAGATCGTCCAGACGATGAACAGCGACCCGGGCCTGGCAATTGGTAGGTTCGTCGCAGAAGCCCGTAAATCCATCGCCGTAATCATCAGCGTGATTATTGTCAATTTTGCAACACGACAACTTCCGTGTGCGTGTGCGCAGGCTACACGTCATTCAACGGCGTGGATTTTGAGGGAACTTTCCACGTGAACACGGTGACGGATGACGACTATGCCGGCATCGTGTTCTCATATCAAGACTCGTCAAGTTTCTACACCGTCATGTGGAAGCAGACGCAACAAATCTACTGGCAGACGCGACCGTTCAGCGCCATTGCAAGCCCCGCCCTGCACCTCAAGGTATTACTTCAAACCAGGGGTGTCGAACTCATTTTTGTCAAGGGCCACATTGTAGTTATAGTTTCCCTTAGGGGGGGCCGATGTGAATTTTGATTTTGATAAATGTTTAATCACCTCCACATATTACATACACAGCGCAGAACAAATTGATGGATAACTAGTTTTAAAATCAGAAGTCAAGAATAATGACTGTTATTGTGGATTATATATGACAATTTGAATTTTTCGTTCGGACTTTAGCAAGCATCATGGAATTTGACATGCTTGATTTGCTTTCACGGGCCACATAAAATGATGTGGCGGGCCAGATCTGGTCCCCGGGCCTTGACTTTGACACCTGCTCTAAACTATACTCTACTTGGACTCTACTGTTATTTTCACACCATTCTTTTTACGCTGACTTCACACAGACTCTGTTCTGCCTTTACTCTATTTTGACTGTACTCTGATTACGCTAACCTTGACTTACCGTTAACTCTTTTGTCAGTCAACTATGACTCGATTTTGGCTCCTCCCTTCGGACTCTGTTGAGTTTGAAACAAATTCTGACTGCACTACTCTATACTGTCTATTTGACCCAACTAGTGTATGTGTAGTTCCGAAAGTAGTGTCCTCTAGTGTTGTACTGTTAGCGTGTTAGCATAACCCTTATGCGCGTGTGCTGGTCAGGCGGTGAAGTCGAGCACGGGTCCGGGCGAGTATTTGAGGAACGCACTGTGGCACACGGGCGACACGAATGGCGAAGCGACACTCCTGTGGAAGGATCCCAGGAATGTGGGCTGGAAGGATAAAACATCGTATCGGTGGCAGGTCAGCCACCGCCCGCAGGTCGGATACATCAGGTCAGTGTGGAACGCGGCACACCAATCAAAACGTCTTGTCATTCGTTGCAATTGGAACAGCTGTGTACTTGTGATTGTACTTGTGTGCATTGCTCTTCACTCCAGGGTTCGCCTGTTCGAGGGCTCCGACATGGTGGCCGACTCAGGTGTGGTGATTGACACCACCTTGAGGGGAGGAAGACTGGGGGTCCTCTGCTTCTCCCAGGAAAACATCATCTGGTCTAACCTGCGCTACCGCTGCAACGGTTAACGACACACGCACGCACTGTGACCCTGACCGTAGTTTAGAACTTGCTTAAAAAATAGTTTAGAACCCCACTTTGAAACCCTGAGTTTAAAACCCGACTTTGACACCCTAACCTTCGTTTAAAACCCTACTTTGAAACCCAGACTTTAGTTTAAAACCTTATTTTGATACTCTAACCTAGTTTAAAACTATGCTTTAAAACCCTTACCCCAGTTTAAACCCTACTTTGGGTAGTTTTCAACGAGCAAAAATCACACCTCTGATGAACCTCATAGGACCGAGCCCAAATTCAAAATTTGAAACCCTAACCCTAAATTAAACCAATTTAAAACCTAACCATCGTTTAAAACATTTGAAATCTTAAACCAGTTTCAAATCCTAATTTGAAACCCTAACCTTTGTTTGAAATCCTGAGACTAGTTTAAAACCCTAATTTAAAACCCTAAGACTAGTTTAAAACCCTAATTTAAAACCCTACCTACAGTTTGAAACCCTCATTCTGAAACCCTGACCGGAGTCTCTTATGCTTCCAGACACTCTTCCTGAAGACTTCCACTCTAGTGGCCAGCAGGTGGTGATGCACGTGCAAGTGTGACCGTATGTGGAGGCGGGGCCTCGGGACAGAGGCGGGGCCACACTGGAGCCATGGGCTGTCAATCAAAGGACAAACTTGAAGACAAGTGAAGTGAATGGTGTCAAGGATAAAGTTCAAAGAATAAAGCCACAGATTAAGTTTGTCATTCTTTGCATACAAATGTATGACGTCACCCATGACATCAGATGGCACAAACAATTGGGATGGCACACATTTTTCTTGACATTTTGATGAGCTCATGAGAACCCTTTGGGTGTTCACATGAAAACTTTTGATGACATCTGGTCCAGCTGTGATGATTGACATGCAAAATGGGGCAATGAGAACAGCCACTCACAAGTGAGAGGCAACGTAGCGCAGGGTCCTCGAGGGCCCCCATCCTGCATGTTTTAGACACCCCCACACCCATATACCTGATTCACACGATCAGGATGGTGACCAGGTTTCTTCAGAGCTTGTTGATGAGCTGACCACTTGAATCAGGTGTGGTGGCGGAGGGAAACATGCAGGGTCGTGGCCCTCGTGGATCACAGTTGCCCATCCCTGGTGTAGGCAGGGTATAGAAGAGGCGGAGTGGAATGGAGTCAGAGTGGGGTATCCTGGAATTTTCTACCTGCTAGAGTTCGAGGCTAAGATCCAAGGAGAATAGTCAGGAGAGTAGAGAAGGGCACAACTCCACCCAGAGTCGGCGTGGAATCAAGTCACAAGGTGCAGAAAGTGGATGCTTGGAATATTAGCTTGTGATGTCACACCTGGGCACAGGTGTAAGCTCCGCCCCTTCTTGTTTGATAATGTGACGTTCAAAAGGAACGTGGCCTACTGGATGATCTGGTGGGCAGAGTCAGCGTCGTTGCTGCTGTCCTGGGCGTGGCCTACGTGGACCGAATCAATCAGCATCATCCGTTTGATGCGTTGTCCTCACGGTGTCCCTGCGGCGAAAAGTCCTCCAGAGTTGCAGGGCCAGCGCCAGTTGCAGGACCTGGCGGGAAGCGCAAGATGACGCCAGGCGCTCGCGCCGCGTCGGCGGCCGGCCGCCTTACCTGCGCCACCATCAAGCTGATGTCCATTCCCACCACCGTCACCACGTTCTCGTGCAGCCAATCAGTGAGCAGCTCGCGGCAGCCCTGGGCGCAAACTAGCGTTAGCCTTCTTAGCGTTTACTCGTACACAAAAACACCCCGTTGAGCGAGCAGGTGCGTGCACCTGCGTGTGCGTGCAGTTTGCGAGTGCAATGGCGTGCGCGTGCGTGACGTTGGGGTCTTGCGAGCACCACGCCGTTTCCAAGTTGCGTTGAGGCGAGCCAAAACACGAACAAGGAAGCGTGCTCGTGGCGCTCGTGTTGAGCGTCTGCACGAAGGAATTCTGCAGCCAATCGGATGGGCCCGTCAGGCCGCAGCACACCTCCTGCAGGCAGAGGGCGCCGTTAAGACGTGAAGGCCTTTTCACTTCTTTTCGATGCCATCATCACAATCGAGACTTTTTGTTTTTTTTAATATGCTGAACCTATGAAGTGGATCCACACAGTTCCCAAAATGTCCACTGAAAGGTGGTGCTGGCGCGGGAAAACAATGGCCTGCGGCCCAATTGAGGCCTGCTCCTTCATTATTCCGGCCCACAGTGTGAACGAGGAAGTGACTGACGTGTTGCTGCAGGTCGTCCAGGAGGCCATCTTGCCGCCCGTCGCCCCGGTACTGGCGTATCATGTGAGCCACCGCCGCATCTGCCTTCTCCTCGATCTGCCGGCAAAGCTCGACGTTTGATTAGTGTCATGTGATGTCCACGTGCGCGCGTGAGGAGGCTCACCTGGCCTCTGCTGAGCAGCAGCAGCAGGAGCAGGCCCACGCAGCACAGGAACAGGAACAGCAGCCCCCACATGCACTGATATCACGTGAGCATCGCATGACATCTCGTGATCATCACGTGAGCGTCGTGTGACATGATATGATCATCACGTGATCATCATGTCACTTTTTGTCCTCAGCAGAACATAAGAATGCGCTGCCTTGAAATACGAGCTGAAGGCCTTCAATGAGCATGGTTGTTAGTCAAAGCGCCGCTCTCTGAAAGCATCTTTGCAGCCGCCCCAACCTCCCCCACCCAAACAAACAAACAAAAAGTTGTCACGTGCTCCCCAAAAAGAAAGCGTGCACTCTCCACTCGTAGACGTTGCCAAAGCAAACAATATTGATGTGATAAATTCCAAAATGTTTTGCCCCATTTGGGGCTTCAATTGAGTGGGCTTTTGTGCTGCTCCTTCCGCTGCGCATGCCCCGGCCACCCGGGGGCAGCATAAAATGCACATGATGCATATGAGCTCAGCTCAGCAGTATGAGACGTTCTCCACAGAGGATAAAGAAGATACGTCTGCGAGTACTGAGATATTTTCTATTTCCATGTGTTCGTGCACCGTTTGCGTCCAAATTTCTGTTGCTTAACATTTTGTGACGTTCGTTCATGGAGTTTCCCCACTATGTGTTATCATTAAGGTCAGCGGACTTTGCTAAGGGAACGCTTTGTGCTTGAAGTCGAGTAAATTTCATCCGGGAGAAGCAACAAACTGCTTGAAGGCTCATTAGGAACCAACCAGTACTCTTTGTCGAAATCGATGCAAACAAAAATAATAAAAATAAAAAATTACCCCAACAACCACTCGTATTTCAAGGCACCGCTGGATAACAATCAATAAGAATAACAACACCCTCATGCCAAGTGTGCTGTGCCATGTTATCATATGACATCACTTGATCATCTTGTGACATCACGTGAGGGTTGATGTTACTGCGTGACGTGACTATGACCGTTACTCACAATCAGCATGAGAATTGCGTTTTCCCAGCGTGCTCCTAAACACGCCACCAAGCTGGACACCATCACCAGGGTGCCAATCAACATTAGCCCCGCCCCCACAGCCTGCAGCTCATCTGGGGACACACACATCCACATCCACGTACACACACAGCGTGTGAGCATGCAAAGCGGTGAAAAGAATCCGAGAACGCGAGGTCGGCTGGTTACGGGAAGAAACGACGCCGATGAGGCTGGTGTTGTCGAAGCAGATCCAAACACCGCAACAGGCCACGCCCAATCCCAGAGTCTGCACACAGGTCAAAGGTCAGGGAACGGGGCGGCGGCAGAAGGACATCTCGGACTCACCAGAAGTAGAAAGCTCAGAAGAAGCGAGAAGAACTTGAGCACATCGGCTTTCACCTCCGACTTCATCGCCGTCACCTACACACACACACACTTCCTGATACATCCACACTTCCTGATTGCCGTGAACCTTCATCTCCGCTCAACGTGCTGACCTTTGGACGCACACACGCATACGTCACACATGGTCATTTGTAGACATATCTGTAATAAAGATATGTCCATAAAAAAAGTTCATAGGGAAGCGTGTGTGTGTCTGTGTGTACACGCCCGTGAGAATGTGCTCATGTATGCGCGAGTATTATGTATGTTGATGCGTGTGTGTGCTTTTCAGTGCATGTGCTTATGTGTCATCTAAAGGAAGCACAGTGTGTACATGTTGGGATTTGTTGTTTGACGCTCTTCAAGATTCTCGTCAAGCGTGCGCATACACACACACACACACACACTCAGACACACACACACACACGCTTTTGCAGCATGCGTGCGAGCGCATTGGTACATGTCGGGATTTGTTGCCGTGACGTTGTTGAGGAGTGTCGTCTTCATCATTTTCAGTGTGTGTGTGTGTGTGTGTGTGTGTGCCTGCGTGCGATGGCTGCGCTGCGCGTGTTGCTGTGCGTGCTGGCGACATGGCCCCGCTTGGGTAAAAGCGAGCGAGCAAGCGCACCGACCTCAAAGGTCATCTATCTCCCTTCATCGTGTTGTCGATCTTCACCCCAGCAGGAGGTCAAGACGAGAGCAAGTGGGAGGACGACCTTGTGACCCCCACGCCCGACTACTACGACTACGCGGCCACCTTTGACTACGACTACTGTAAGTACATGCACGGACACTTCGAAGTATGTGACTTGCAAGTGTCCTTTGTATTCTTTGTGTGTTGAAAGACACATTTTTTTTTTTTACAAAAGTGTCACCCCAAGTCAACTCAATTTGAAATTGGTCATATGAAAAGATGATTTGATAAGAATAATGAAGTAGGAATCGTGTATTCGACGGTGCTCATGAAACAACTTGTAAAAATGTCCCGGAATTTTAAAGTTGTTTTTGCTAAGAATATTTGGGGGAGTGTCAAAAAAAAAAAAAAAAAGCAAAAGGCTAAAAGGCTGCTGCTGACATCACGGAACATTTCAGCAAGCTTCTTAAAAGGCCAACGACGCGCTACTGACAATCTTCAATTTGACCACAAAAACGGAACAAGCCGCTGCCTGAATGACATGCGAGGCGTCGCAAAACCAAAACCACACAAAATAAAATTGAAGACGCAAGCGAGCTTCAGAAACCGCCTCTAGATGGTACCAACGCCTTTCACAACAGCTGGCCACCATCATCGCGCATTGGTTTCATCACATTTAGAGGGGACAAATGCGCCATTTTTGCCAACTTACCAAAAAAAAAAAAAAAAGTAGACAATCATGTTTTGTGCTCCTAGTTCCAGGTTTTACGAAGAGCAAATGTTAGAACTGTGATTTTTTTTTTTTTTACACTAATACTTTGAATGCAATTTTCCATGTTACATTAAACCATTGTTGGTTCTTTCGGGGATCTGCAACCGATTAATCACATTTGCATTCATTTCAATGTGCAATGCCCAATTTGAGATGCAAGCCATGCGAGTTACAAGGGCAGTTTCAGAACAAAAAGTCATGGAAGTAACTTTCTATTTTAAACTGCCATGAGTACTTTTTTTTTTTTTTTTGCTTTTCATGTGAAAAGGGAGCACAGCACCTTCAGCTGTAACAAAAGAGGATTAACGACTTGTATTTTTGCTTTCAAAAAACTCCCCTCCAAAAAAGCTTGGTCATACAAGAGAAAAACCCTCGCTGACTATTGTGTATTTTTGATGTCGTCTCCTTTTGATTTTGTGTGTAGTTACAGCAAGTTCTTCGCCAGAGCTCAAGAACAAGGTGAGCAAAGGTCATAAGGTCATGACTGTCAACAGGAAGGGTGTGAACTTTGACCTCTTCAGGCTTCAACGGCAGGACCGAGTCTGGCGCTCGTGCTGGCGACCGTTCATCTGAGGATGTGAAGAAAAGCCTCCCGGCGGACACGACCGGTCGCCTTCACTTTTGAGCGCAAAATAAAACTTGTGCACCCGTTTTTCCGTTTTGCCTTTTTTAATTCGAACGAGGGCCTGTCGCCATTCTTGGACATTCAAATTATTTTCTTTTTCGTTCAAGGAACAAACATAAAAAAAGCACTCAAGAGCAACCTAGCTATGCTAACAGGCCTGCAAGCCAACCAAGTAAATGCTAATGCTTGACACAAAGGAAAAAGCTTGGAAGCGTTTCAACTGGATGGGGCAAAGCGTGGGGAGGTTCATTCAAACCAGGACAGCGGCTGTCTGGCCTGCGCCATGTACTCATCCAGGTCGGCGTCCAGTCGCTTCTTGGACTTGGCCATGTAGTCGTCCAGCTGCGCGTCCAGTCGCTTCTTGGACTTGGACATGTAGTTGTTCAGCTGCGTGTCCAGCTGTTCTTTGGTGGGCACTTTGAAGTTGAAGCTCCCCCGCCTACGGTAAATACCGGACGCTGGTGTTCGACCCCGAGCGGCCTTTCGGAAGCTTCCCGATGTGATGAGGCAGCGCACAGCCGGCCTTCCGGTTCCTTCTGTGGAGGGAAACCAAGATTTCACTTTGACTAGCTCACTGCCGGCACCCAGGCAGGAAGGGGCGGGACTTCCAATCATATTTGGAGAAGTCGCCACTCATGTACATTACAGAATAAAAAAGACAGAACAAAAATTGTGCAGATTATTTGTCGTCTGCCAAATACGATGTTTATTCATGGACTCCGTTCATTATTTTATTTTTTTACCGCAAGTAGAGGGCTACTTTGAGGAGTTCTCGCTCTAATTGCGAGGTCGCACATGGCATCCACGTATGCAGTGAAAAATGTTCCGACAACAGTTTGGAAGCTTCATTCTGTCAAAGATTTTTTTTTTCAGAAAAGATGCTTTTCAGCACAAAAAGTGTAAAGTGTTGCCGAGGCGACCCGTGGCACCCATCACTCACTTGCTCTCGCGAGGGTGGCACGGCACCTGGCTCTCCATCTATACTTGTTCCGGAAGGACCAGAAGCCGACCCGCCGCGAGCCCAGGCGGGTCCACACGCTTCTTCGTCTGGGAGGGAGTGGAGCCGTGGGCACCAACGAGAAGCAGGCGGGCCCCACCTGGAAGACACCACACAGACATTGTTGCTAGCATAATGTGTTAGCTAGGTGCTCACTGCTTAGTCAGCATTGCTAAATTTGCCATTTCTTTACTTTCTAAATAGTAAAGAGTTTCCAAGTGTTGTAACGACATGATTTGTCAAAATATATCGATCAACGATTGTAAAGATACTGGCATATTACATTCATCCCTCGCTTTTGTACAGTAGAGTTACTTAACTGTTTCAGGAAACAGGCTTGACTGACATAGCCTACCACTGCTAGTTAGAATCAAATGGAAGCCAGAACAGGAGGTTTGGAGCAGGAAAACAGCTGCGGGTGCTCTTTCAATCGCTTTGTTAAAAACTAATAAAACACAGTCACCAAAGTACAATGTTAGCACATCTGCCGCTAACCTCGACTGACTTTGGCAAATGTTAGAACCAGAAAACCACAAAGACTGGCCAAATAGACATATTATGCAAGACCAACTTGCCCTTTTCGGTTCACACTTCAGGTGTGGGCGCAAAAGCTCCAAAGCATTTGGATGCAAAACATTCAAAAGTCACTTGGACCTAAAGTGTCACCTTGAGGAAGAAAATGAAGCCTCCTGATTGGCTGAAAGCTAACCTGTGGGTTGACTGAAGATGAGGATGCCATCAACAGGAGCACAGACTCAGGAACGGTCGCCATTTGGGGCCACATCGGTTGCCCAGCCGGCACATGAGAGAAGCTAAATCCAAAAGTGACACATTAAAAAGAGGAAAAAAAGCTTAATCATTCCAAAAGTCAGTATTTCAAAATAGGGTTATCCCGACCCAATCGACTTGCTTGGAAATTGGGGCCGATCACCTGATTTTCAGTCGATTGGTTTTGTCCAAAAAAAAAAAAAAAAAAAAAAAAAAATAGTTTTTAAAATTTGATGTTGGGGTTGGGGGGAAC